GGGCTGAAGCAAAAAACGTATGAGCACCGCCACCCCCAAAAGCCCATTACAATCAAATAGATAAGGAAGATTTACCAGGCAAATATTTTTTGAGGGTCGATGAAATGGACCTTAAAAATGTGGAATCAAAAAAATGTTTTGTCGACAACAGAAAAAGTGTTTTAAAAGTTGAGTTTTAGACAAACCAGACCAAAACATTCTGTCTTTATACTTTTGCACACTTGTATGAAAGAGCCCTACTGAGGGACTACTTTGGGCTGAGAAACATCAGTCAGGGTGTTCTTCTCTTTTGAACATTTCTGTTTCGTAAAAGCTGGTGCAAAGAGAAATAGATTCATGTGAAACCTTAAGATAGAACCAAACAGTTTTGAGAGTCAGAGTTAGATGGATTTTATGACAGTTCCACTATTTGTGGTTTACGAATGTTGTTTTATCGGCTTTAATCCATGATCCCTGTGAATAGAATTTTCTCCCTAAAAACATTTATCATCATTTATTTGTCTGGCTCAGCATTGATATCTGATACTTGATATTGTGCATTCCTATCGAAGAAGCCAGATAAATTCTTGCAATATTATGATTTTACAATTTGTTTGAGAATCTATATGAGGGCAACACACATACTGTACATCTGCAGGTGAGAGCCAAGTAAGGAGAACTAATACTGCTTAAAATGTGATCATTATTGCAACTGTTTTACCTGAATTAAAAGGTAATTTTCCTGTACAGCCCATGAGCATGCATAACTAACAAAGCAATAGACTATTTAATTTTGTTTGAACAATTCCGTCTTGTGAAAAAAGTAAAAACCCTGAGCTCTCGGAGTGAGGAATTTATACAAGTTTTAAAAAGTGCTAAAACTGGTGATTATGATTGAAATATAGTATAAAAAGAAAAGGCTAATGCTAACTTCTGAGAGTAAACGGTGTATTGCTATGGTAACCAGCACTCTTGGGTGTAAAAAGTACTAAAACTTTGATAATTTTTGCGACTGTTTCACCTGAATTGAAGTGAATTTCCCTATACAGCCCATGAGCATGCATAACAAACAAAGCTATAGACTGTTTGATTTTCTTTTAAAGATTCTGCCTCGTGAAAGAAAGTAAAAACCTTGAGCTGTCGGAGTGAGGCAGTGGCGCTTGTGTAATTGGACAAGATGGACAGCCCATGCTTGGTCTTCTGTATTGGGCCCCTTGCAGCAGAGGCCTAATTTCATTGACTGAGAGTATAGTGACCATAATGCTGACCACAGGCTGTACTGGAGTGCTCAGAAGAGTTGTGAGCCACACTCTATCGTCTGCAGACCTGAGTGATGGAAGTAGATCATATTATCAGAGAGAGCCTGAGGATTTATCTATCCCTACTACACGACGCACAGTCTTTTGTAATAAAATGTGTGGTCAAAATCAGACAGGGACGAAGACAAAGTCACCTTTCTCTCGGCACTAACCCAGACTGACTGCCCTGCTTCTGCCAATCTTACCCAAGGCATATTTAGCTTTGTCTTTTGAGATTTTGTTTATTCAATACAGTATGTTTATCGCGGGGGTAGCGTTCTCGGAATAACTGAGCAAAATCCGCAAAGTCACCGCTATGTTTTAAGGCTGTAAAACCCCTCAGCGGAAATGCAAAACCTGTTTGTTGTAGGTCCGAGCGCAGCTGCAGCTGTCAAAAGCCATGCATGGATTGTGAAATATACTGTAGCTGCAGAGGACATAAGAGGCAGGAGCAGGATGACCACTGAGGTGCACGCAAGTCACAAAAAACGTATTCTGACATTAAGCAAAGGTAGCTGTTATGTTTTACTAGCAGATATATGATGGTGTCTATGATGTTGGAGTATATGTGCAGCATGTTGTAAGAAAAGTTTGCAAAAGTCCACATAAAAAAATCACAAAAAGACGAACTGCATAATCGTGAGGGGCCACTGCATTAATGACAACTTTACTTTTAATTTATTGCTTGGACTGTCTCCGCATGTCTTTGAGATCACTGTAGCATGTGTGGTTTGAGTCTTTTTCATTGAAACATGGAATACCACCCCCTGAAACTGACACTAAAAAGAAACCGCAGCCTTTATACACACATGCCGTCGTTCTCATTAAAATGTATTAAATATAAAATCAAACAAGTCTTTCTAATCAGCTCACATTATTTTATTTTCCCGTTATTTTGACTAATCAGGTGATATTGGATCATTTCAAAAGCCGCAGCAAACAACATCACAAGGCACTGAAAGAAAGCTGCCAATATACAGGGTGCGATTTGTCAAAAAAACAGATGGAGCATGGTTAATTTGTTGTGGGTTTTAAAATTAAGCAATCCTTTATTCGTCCCGCAAATTAATGAGGAATGTCAATTATTGTCAAATAGATGTTTTCGCTATTGGCATCCGCTTATAGTTTCTAAATTGATGCAAAAGTGTATTTATTAATTTGCCTGTTTTCCAGACAGCCAACCAAATCTAAATCTAACTTGCAAAAGACTGTTGCTGCAAAACACAAACCCTTTACACTCTTCGCTCATATGAAAAGCTTGATTAAAGTGCTGCCTGTTTTGGAAAAAGCCAATAAAAAATGTTTCCAGTTGACACTTCGGTGGATGACATTGGCCTGGCGCATTCGGCGTGACGGAGACGTGGGATCTGTCTGCTCATAATGCAGTATTGTAGATGGTTCCACACTCACATGGCCACAGCTTTCATAATGTTATGTCAGAGCGTGTGTGTGTGTGTGTGTGTGTGTGTTGTGGTTGTGTTGCTTATCCAGCCGCCATACTGTTGCTATGATTTGCAGTGGTGCGGAGAGGACCTTCACCCATCCCTACCGCAGAGACCAGCTCCTCTCTGCCACCATTTTTTTTAATCAGGGGCAGGATGTGTAATCACCACGGGCGGCGTTGCTCTCTCATGACCTCTCACATTCACGGAGACAGGTGTGGAGATATGTTTTCCACCTTTCAGAGCCTGTCACACATGTCTGCTGTCACACTCTCGGCTCCCGTTCGGAAAAAGAAAGCGCTTGTATGAATCAATTACAGTTTAATGATGTCACATTAAGGGCAAACCAAACATTTTGATTTGATAATAAGCACCTTGTGTGGTTGTTATGCACACCGGAGCGGAGGGAAATGTCATCTCTGATAAATGGTCTGCATCGTAGAAGTAAAAACAGCGTGTTGTTGCTCCTCTTGGTCCAATCGAAGAGAACTCTTGCGCACTTGGGGCTATTTATTCCTCATTTGTAGAGACATGAAAGTGACCACTCACCTCAGTTCTCTTTGCCAACCGTGGGTACGCCGACCTCTGTGTGCACATGGGGTAGAACAGGGTGGAATGATTTTTAAAACTTGCAAACATTGATAGTATGATGCTAATATGGGATACAATGGCATGTTTTACATCATTGTAAATTGCAAATTCTCTAAAGAAAACCACCACACCAATTATTCTATTCTTATCCTAGAACACAATGATAATGATAATTGGTCTATTTTTGTGACAAGTTTTTGGTTCAGTGCAAGCATTCAGTTCAGAGAAATCTAAAACTCAATTTGAAGAATGATAAAGGACATAATAGAAGGAAATAGAATTTATTTTACAGTGATTTCAAGAGTCAAAATCTGAGTTATAGGCAAACATTCCTAAAGAAAATGATGAAACCTTGGTGTAACAGTAAAGCTTAAAAACAGTCGTGGCCCTGGATCAGGTCGAGTTTGAACCCTGGGGTGCATGAAACACTTTCCCCTTACAACAGCTGGTCCTTCTGCCCTGTCTACGATGATGAGTATACAGGGAAAACACAGTTGGAAATCAATGCTCAAGACCAGGGTCAGGAACCTATGGATCAGGAGCCAGATGTGGCTCTTTTGATGACTGTGTCTGGCTCTCAGACAAATCTTTGTAGGTATTAATAGTAAGAAAGTTTTATGTATTGAAAAGTTTTTGGCTCTCTCCCAGCTAAAAAGGTGTATGTGAATAATGATTATACAAAGTATAACAAAATAATAACCCAGATAAAGAGAAGGAGGTGCCGAATCCCAGAGTTCAAAATGAGGTGATTCTTCTGATTGTATTTATGGGAAAACAGAAATACACATATTAGTTTTTCCTTCCGTTATCCTTTGGACCTCTGACTCGCTTTATCATTGTATTTCCTATGCGTTTGTTATTCTAATCTGCCCTTCCGTCCTAGTGCAGGTCCTGTTGACTTGTCACAACATGATTTTTTTGATTTTCTGATTTTCACGTCACGTTCATGTCAAAAGTATACAATACCTCTATATAACTTCTGCCAGTGTGATGTATTCAGTTTAGCTGCCGCTCTCTCCTCTGGCTTCACACAGGCTTTTCACACGCGTTAATTGGCAAAGGCTTGTGAATGAATGTGTGTGGGGTAAACTGAAATAGACTCCACGCGTCTGAACACGTGCTGCTACACTGTGCGACGTGTGCTCGGGCTGGAATACATTGTTATGACCGAGTTGTGACACGACTGGATAAGACAAGTGATTAAAACGGGATTGAGGCTTGGAAATAATTGGTCTGTAACAACAAGTGATTTTGAAAGTTTGGCTGCAGTGGTTCGCCTGTCAGTGAACGTTTTGCCAAGTCAAAGATGAGAGTGTGTTGTTATAGAAATTCTGTCGGGTTTAATAGAAGGATGTTGAAGCTGGAGAACCTAACTTTCAAACTACAAACATGTCACAATGTACTAAAATCCATCCAATAGTTCCTTACTCTGGTTCTTTAGATCAGCGTTTTCAGTTTAATAGAGTGGACCTGTCATCAGTCTGGAACTTCCAGTAAAAATGAGAATACAATTTTTAAGAATGAGATGCCTATAAGTGAATAGATGTAGAATAAATGATTTAGGAAACCTTTTTCATGGAGACAAATGATCTCTTTCAAAGCGACAATACTGTGGAAAGAAATAATTGAAATAAATGGTCTTGTTGTTGTTGTTGTGCGTCTGTAATCACTTGAACATGTTGGTTTTCAGGACAATGTGGATCTGGGGGAGCTGATGTTCTCCCTGTGTTACCTCCCCACGGCGGGCAGACTCACCATCACCATCATCAAAGCCAGGAATCTCAAAGCCATGGACATCACCGGAGCTTCAGGTGTGAATACGGGAGTGTTTCTTCATCTTTGTAAACATGCACTTTTCGACAGGCTATTTCACAAACATTATTGGTGCAGTGGTAACAACCTGGAGCTGAACGCCCAGAAGACAGTGGAGATGATTGTGGACTTCAGGAAGAGCACTGTCCCCCCGCCCCCACCCTCCGTGATGGACTCCCCATCACCTCTGTGGAGTCCTTCCGTTTCCTGGGCACCACCATCACCCAGGACCTCAAGTGGGAGCCGACCATCAGCTCTCTCATCAAGAAGGCCCAGCAGAGGATGTACTTCCTGCGGCAGCTCAGGAAAGCCAAGCTGCCTGCACAGATGTTGGTGCAGTTCTACACGGCCATCATCGAGTCCATCCTCACCTCCTCCATCACCGTGTGGTTCGCTGGAGCCACAGTCAGGGACAAACAGAGACTACAGCGCATTGTGCGCTCTGCAGAGGAAGTGATCGGCCGCAGCCTTCCATCGCTGCAGGACCTGTACGTCGCCCGAGCTCGAGGCCGGGCTGGTCGTATCACAGCCGACCCCTCTCACCCTGCACATGGACTATTCCAACCACTCCCCTCAGGCAGGAGGCTGCGGTCCATCAGGACTAGAACCTCCCGCCACAAGAACAGTTTCTTCCCCTCTGCTGTTGGACTCTTGAACACTTCTTAACCTGTCCCCCCGCCCTTTATAAAGTCACTTTACTGCCCATCATACGTCACTTTACTTCACTGTACTGCTGTCACCTTACATTGTGTGCACCATGTGCACTTGTATATTGTAAATAGTAACTGTAACTCTATTTTAAATTTAAATTTATTCTTTAGAAGTGTTTTTTATTCTTATTTTTATCTTTTTGATAATTGGTAAATGGCTAAACCTGGGTTAAGTAAGGCCTTTGGACCCGTCACTATAGCAACTCAGAGTCCTGCTCCTCTATGCTATTCCATCTATAGTACGTTCACATTCTAAGGGATTATGTAGCACTTTATAGTATTATATGTCTACCCAATTTATTAAAGGTTAAGGTTCATTCAAAGTAATTAAGGTTAAAGAAAAATGGTCCAAAAAAAAGTGTACTAAATAATTAATAATGCATCAGTTTTATATAGCACTTTTTTGGACACTCAAAGACGCTTCACATATCATTATTGTTTCACTTCATACATGGTGGTGATTTACTATTGAAGCCAGAGCTGCCCTAAGGCACACTGACAGAAGCGAGGCAACCAGTATGTGCCATCGGCCCCTCCCATCATTCACACACGCACACCAGACTCATTCTAGGCAATGTGGGTGAAGTGTCTCACTTTAGGAAACCACAACAGTTTGGCACTTTACAGCCGCAGCCGCCCCACTGGGTCACCTGGTGTTCCCAGAGGTCTCCCACCTCAGTACTAACCAGGCCCTGCCCTGCTTAGTTTCAGATGTCTGATGGGATCTGGCTTTCACATGCAGGTGATGTGCACTTTCACATCCAGGTTCTAATAATGAGAGGAATAAGCATGAGTAAAGATAAAGTTTACACTCCCAGCCAGAGATTGAATTGTTTTTGGGGATTCTGAATGACAACAAAAAACAATAAAGGTTGTGTGACACCATTTATTATTCAATGTTCGTATTATAACATCATTGAGCTTCATCGAGACGGTGTTTCTCTCCTTATTCTGTGCAGATCCGTATGTGAAGGTGTCCCTGATGTGCGAGGGCAGGCGGCTGAAAAAAAGAAAAACTTCCACGAAACGTAACACTCTGAACCCCATCTACAACGAAGCCATTGTGTTCGACGTCCCGCCTGAGAACATAGACCAGATCAGTCTGCTCATCGCTGTCATGGACTATGACCGGTCAGAACTGCTGTCACACGCTGCCCTGCAACTCTACTCAGGGGCGACACTTTTATAATAAATATATAGTCACATTAGTCAGTTTTCCCGTCACATAAACTCACTGAAGGTTTAACGTGTACATTTACAGATACAGGAATGCTCTGGTGTCACGAGGGCAGGGACCAGGACCACACCCATTGGTCTACATTTTAATTTCACATTGTAATTCTTTTCATTTTTTCTGGTCATTGGTAAACAGCATCAACAAAAAAAGATTTCACATACAGAAATTGCCTTTTTCAACGACCGCAAATATTTAACCTGAAGTCTAGCCTAAACAGTGGCAAACAAAACCGAAAGTATACAAAACCTATTCAAATATGCATATTGTACACAACATATTACAACTGTACAGGTACTGCATACACTATATATACATAATAACTTGAACTGTGCTATACAATTAAATTTGCTTTGCTTATTAACAAAAACCCAATATTTATTACATAGATCTTCAAAAATGTGAGAAAACATTTGTACCGATAAAACACTATGAAACAAAGTATATGATTTATTTATTAGAATGTTTTAGTTATTATGTCTGTTATTGATAATATTATTAACAAGATGGCTTTCTTCACAATCATATTTAAAAACAAATTGTGTGTCTTCAATCAGGATGCTTATTTTTGTCTTTCATGAAATTATCTTTGCGACACAAAGACTACAGTGTGTGTCATACCTTTCTCGTCCTCTAGGGTGGGCCATAACGAGGTGATCGGGGTGTGCAGAGTGGGCAGTGAGGCTGAGACTCTGGGCCGAAACCACTGGAACGAAATGCTCTCGTATCCACGGAAGCCCGTCGCACACTGGCACCCACTCATAGAGGTCAGTCCTGTTTGATTCTAGTTTTATTATCCCCAAAAAGTCTCCACCACAGGCCAAAAGTAATAAAGCAAAATCATAAGAGTTTGAGTTAGTCATGGAAACACAAAAGGGGATAGACGAAGAACGACATGGAGCTTCAAATACTGAAATGTGTATTCTTCAGAGCCTGCTCACTCTCATTAAGAGCCATGAAAATATTAAAAGTGAAGCCGCTATGCTTACTCTTGTACTTTTTAGTTTACTCGTTGAAACTAATTCTGCTGCTGCTCACCCAAGATACTTTTTTATCCACCACGGGTGAGCAGTTTATTCATTTCTTCAGTCATTAGTCAGCAACAACAACAATTTTATACACAAAATATCAAATTCTAATTCAGAAATCTTGAAAATAAACCATTTTGATTTAATGAACTAAAGACTTCCTATTTTAATATTGATGAACATAGATTTGCTATCCACATGCATGGCATTTGCTCCCAGCAGCACAGCCCTCATACACATCATTATGGGGCCCGCAGGAGGTCTCCGTTTGGCTCATTAGCAGAAAGACCCAAGGCCTGAGGAGTTGGTCTTCAGCTCTAATGAACATACACCTTAACAAAATTCTGTCTGTAATTGGTTAATAGCATAATCATCATGTTTTTATGTTGTTTTTTGTTACTTATGAGTCCTGTCCAGCTTCTAATCAAAACAACAATGACAGAACTAAACACAACAGCAGCAGCTTGCTACAGCTTATAGATCCATGATAGTTTTTATAGCTGGCTCTGGGTCATAACAAGTAGGGAGGCAAAACGGGGGTAAAAAGTGCAGAAAGTATATTTAATTATAACGAAACGAGTATAACAGTTAACACAAAGACGGTGTGAGATGTGAACATGTAATTATCAGTATAGTGTGGCGCAGGTGTATGAGTGCAATGAAAGCCCTTGTATGGTGTGAAGTGAATGTGGTGCAGAAAACAAAAGACAAACTCAAATGTGCAGACAAGGATTGGGAATACTGGCTCTTAGCGGAGCCCACTAGGACAGGTCCATGAGAGAAAACAACACAGGAGAGACTGGACTGCTCCAAGCCCTGGCAATCCAAGATGGTGCCCTATTCAAATCAATGACTTGTGCTCAGTAGCGCATGGGACCTACATGGGAACCGAATGATTACCGCAAATATGGGCGAGTTCCCCATGTAGGTCCCAAGTACTACTGAGAACAAGCCATTGATTGGAATAGGGCGCCATCTTGGATCACCAGGGCTTGGTACCTGCACAGAGGAGGACACAGCAGAAAAGGCAAACCCAAACAGCTCCCTCTCCTGGACAGTAAGGGCCTGGCCTGCGACATAGTAAACAAATAAACATCTGTCCCAGTACTCATTTTTTAACACACACAATCCTACACTTACATAAATATTTAGCCCAACTTTTTATGAAATGTAATTGACTCTTTAGATAATTGAACACAAACCTTCGAATTTAACACTATTGTATACATTTGCATAGATATGTTTGTTGGCCTCCTAATTATCAATATTGTGTATCAAATAACATATACATAATCATCATGTATTTAGCACAACTAGCAGGTCACATTTCCTTGACTAAACCTGGCACCAGTCACTATAGCAACTCAGAGTCCTCCTTTCCCATGCTATTCTACCTGTTGTTGTACTTTCACACTCAAAGGCCTTATGTATGAGACAGGGACACAGCAGAAATAAAGTCCAAAATGTAAAAAGGCTGCAGCAGAAACTCACCTCTGCTGTTCTGTTCCAACGCCCTTACGTGTTTCAGTTTCTGTTTTTTCTTGAGTCATGTAAGTCATGAAATGTGGGGGGAAAAACAGTTTCAAGGCAATTGTAACGCCAAACTTCCCCCTAAAAGACTTTTTATGAGTCTCAAAAATACAAGTAATAATTTTATTTTTCTTTTGCATTTCTGTTTTGCACACATGAAAGCTATTAGCTGTTATTAATCTGTCTTTGGGTTTCGCGATGATAACAAATTAGGACCATCACCATAGCGATTTACCAGGTACAAGGGATAGGATAACAAAACTAGCAGATTAACAAAGGATCAAATAAGAATGATGCAAATGCAATGATGATGTTACAGTCTGACATAAAACCTAATATTAATATCCTTGGAAAGTGAGTATTCATTCTGATTCCTCAGTCATGTGCAGTATATACTCTCTGGCCGAAACCATTGTCTTACTGATTTAGAAACTTCACCACTCCAGGCTTCAGAGTCTCCTTAGTGTAAACTGCACTGACCCTCAAACCACAGTCCAACAGATTAATAATTCATCCATTTGAACACACACACAGAGAGACACAAACACACACACAACACACACACACATGTACACTCAGAGCTGGCAGGAGCTGTCCCTGGGGTTGTTGCAGTCAGTGGAGAGGTTATTGAGCGGAAGAAAAGGAAATGTAGAAAGCACCCTCTCACTTGTCCCGTCTTTGTCACTGACCTAGAAACGTAAAAAAAATGGAGAGGTCTCGCTGCAAAGGCCCCGATCACACACAAAAAAAGATTTGCAGAAATTCAGTTCTCACCGGAGCAACAGGGGAGAGGTCATAGTGCCTTTCTCCATGGTAACCTGCGTTTATAAAGCACAAGTCTTGAAAAGGTCCACACAGAGTATTCAGTTTAAAAGACTTTTGCTACAGGTGGACACAAAATGGCTTTAGAACATGGATCATATACATCAATTTGATTTTCTATTATTAACCCTTTAGTTGCTCAAGAATTGCTACGTAAGAGCGAGCTGGCTTCCTACAAACGATTCCATACATTTTTCATATAGTGTTTATTAATTTTATTATATATATATATATATATATATATATATATATATATATATATATATATATATATATATATATATATATATATATATATAATTTTTTTTTTTTTTTTTTTCCTTCAGTACAAAAAAAAACAAGTTTTTCATCCAGTTAGTTGACAAACAGAATACAAACAGTTGAGATGACAACGAAATAACGAAAAGTCTGCCAAAATGAGCGATACCAATTATTTGTTCGCATTTTTTTTATTTTTTCCCCAAACATGGGAGTAGAAATAAAAATTAGGCATGTTAAAGCAAGACATAGTAAGTAAAAAAAATAAAAAATTAAAATTAACAGAACTTTGGCAAGTGTGTTTTTATCATTAATTCATATAGTGCTTATTATTATTGATTTTAGTAGTCCTATAAGATTAAGTTTCAGGGCTCCACCTTTTGTCTGCTTCAAATCATATTTATGAAAAAAAGTGTTTACTTGCTTTGATTGTAAGAGGTTAATGTAGGTTACGGCCCTTTACCAACATTATTCATTATTTTTTTCATTATTATTATTTTAATTATTTTATTTTCTAGCACACAGACAATTATAGTCATTTTGTCCAGATAATCGTATAGAAACTCAACTTTCATATCTTTTTGCCATAACTGTTGTGTTGCATATGTAAAGTTATATGTACATAACTTGTGCTGATCTAAACCTAATACTTCAACAAAATAGATACAATAATTCTTCCAATTAAAATACACTTTATTACATATTAAAAAGTGAACGCATATGTGCATTAAACAATATTTCCACTCCAAGTCTGTAGATATTTTATGTTATTGTATTTGTGTGTGTTTTATGCAGTTTTCTTTTTTTACGTTTTTTTTTGTACATGTGGAGCACTTTGAGTAGTTGCTGTTGTTGTAAATGTGCTATACAAAAAAAGCCTACATTGACATTATAGTAGAGAGTCCATGATAAAAAACCTCAGCTTTCACCAGGTTTTTCCTCTGTTTTTTGGTTATAAACACACTACAAACAGATGCTAAAACAATTCCACCCCATAACGTCAAAATGTCTCTATATCTCACAAACTTTTTTTCTGTGTCTATGTTGTAGTGGGTGGGACAAGGAACGACAGAGAAGGGAAGCCAAGGCGGGTCCACCAACTCCCTTAAGGTGCCCCCCTCTCCGTAACCACAGTGGTACGGTCCAAAGGTCTGATAGAAGATTGCTTTTACTTCCTCATGTTTTCACTACCGAAACACACTCTGTAACATTCCAAGTATTTTAGTTTTGCATTAACACTATTCTAATTTTACGGACCAAGCTCTTAACGTTATAGGATGGACTGTTGAATTGCATGTCAAGCCATCGTGGCGACAGAACAAAATACACTTTCTAGCCACATCGCTTGGTGATCTATGCTGTTTTGTTTTTGTGGTCTAATTTAAGACTTTAATTGTGAATTTGCTTTGATTTTGTAGCTAATTTTGTTACGGATTATGCTTGCTCTGTTTTGCCGTTGAACAATCACTTCCAGTTATGGTAAAAGTTACATTCTACATGATATAAAGGAGCAGTTATACAAATAGAATTGGGCTTTTCTTCATATGTTGGTTGTTAACTAAATCATATAGTGCTAACTTTATTCCAGTACACCTTTTCAACGACCTTGCAAGACGTAAATAATGGAAACGTTTGGTAACGATAACACACTTCTCACAGCTCCTTTAAGCCCATATGTATTAGTAATGATATTGAGTAACTTGTATAACATTTTATTTGCACAAGAGAGCCTTTTTCTTTAGTTTCTAGCTTTAGCCTTGTGTAGATGACTAATCTATTATACTGCTTTGTTGACACTCGGGACCACGCCCTCCAGTTGTTTCACTAAACCAGTGTTTTTTAAGCTGCTACAGTATTGTTTATAGCAACAAACACAAATATCAAAAAATGTGTATTTCTGTAAGTATGATGCATGCTTTACTTCAGTGGGTCATTTTTAATGCTTTAGTTGTGAGATACTAATCCTGTTATCACGAAACGTAACCAGGAACTAGAACTGTGTACATTGTCTCTCAGATGTTATTAATAAATATATCTTTACTTAGTCCGAGTGGTGTCATTCTTGTACAGGACAAGTGTAATGTTTTCTTCGGGACCTTTCTGAGTGAAGCTCCAAGTCAAACTCACTCCAGTGCGTTCATTTGGAAACGAGAAATAAATGCATATGGATGTGTGGTTGTTCCGTTCTGTCAATGTTGTAGCCAGAAGTGGATTTAGAATTCGAAACACAGTGTTGGCTATGGACCAAGACAAGGAATATTAAAATATTTGCTAGTTATTGTAAATAATGCATCGGTTTTATTTAGCACTTTTCAGCACACTCAAAGACGCTTAACATCTCGTTAATCATTCACTCCATAAACAATGTTGATACATTTCTACTGTAGCCACAGCTGCCCTGGGGCACACCGACAGAAGTGCGGCCACCAGTATGTCCCTCTGATCAACTCCAACCATTCACACACACACCAGACGTATTCTGGGAAATGTGAGTGAAGTGTCCCACTGAAAGGACACTACAACACTTAAGCACTTTACAGCCACACATGTCCCTCTGAGGCAACCAGTGTTCTCAGAGGTCTCCCATCACAGCACTAACCATGCCCTGCCCTGCTTGGCTTCAGAGGACTGACAGGATCTGGCTTTCCCAAGCAGGTATGGCCACATTGTATTCAATTGTGGTGATAGTATCAGTACTGTGAGTGTAGGAGGCAGCTCAGAGTGTACGGTGTGTCTGTGGCTAATGTATATGTGGCTTCACAACAGGGGGCGGGGCACACGGGGCTAAAAGCGTGCACGCATCTGTCTCACGAGTGATGAGTCAGGGCTGAGTGGCTTTTTGTATATTTCTTGACCGTTTGCCTTTTTGTTACTTTTTTTGCTCACTTCAGGTCATATGTTGCAGTTCATTACAGTTTATCATTTATCCATCTTTTTTTTGCTGCACTATTTTACATCAATAAATCCTTTAAACGCAAGACTGGATCAGACTTCTTTAACATGGGCTTCAAAATGCATCTACATACCCATAGTACCCATTCTGACCGGCTCAGGTTTTGCAGAAGACGCAACAATGAGTCATTTCAACAATTACCATACAGTACATTCATCAATCTATTTTTTCCACAAACAAGTTCCTATAGCGACTAAAACTTGCTTACCACAATAAAAATATACATATTTTCCACACCGCTATATAAGTCGCAATTAAATTGCAGTTATTAACTCACAAACATAAATATTTTATTCTGTTGTATTCTTTGAAAGACCATAACAAAGTAGCAGACAAGTGTCTGCCCTCGCTGAAAGACCAAGGCTATGCCACAGAGCAGCCGTCCTCCTGTGGACTCACCACCTGCAGGAGGATCAGTGAGGGGCTGGTGGATGGATGGACCAAAACAAAGTAACAGACAAGTGTGGTGTGAAAGTGCACGAGTTAATACTTTGTGGAATCCCATTTTGCTTCAATCCCAGCTGTGAGTATGTCGGGGTATGACTGAAAGATTTGCCCATTCGTCTTATCTTTCACTTTTAACAGATTACAAAATGTAAAACAGATATCTTTCAAAAGAACAATAAAAAGTTAAGTCAGATGTATTACCTTGTGAACATGTTTCGCTGCAGAGCTAATATGGTAATACATCAAACTTTCAAAAGAATCATAAAAAACATTTTCTCTAAAGACAAAATGAAACTTTTTGAATCAACAATGTAATCAACAATTCAGAAAATTATGGTTAGTGAAAAATAAAAATAAAACAAGATTACATTTTAGGTAAAGGTATTAATTGCTTAAATCAAGTGTTTTTTGTCTTATTTTGAGCACATTCTTAGATGTCTTAGAAAAAGATTTACGGATGGGACAAGCCATTTAGTCTTATTTCAAGAAATGTTGCTTTACTTTCTCATTCACAGGGAGACATTTCTTGTTTCTGATTTAACACAGAATAATTGGGCTGGTCCAAATGGAATATCTTGTTTTAAGGCAGTGAGAATGTGCTCAAATTCAGCTACATTTGAGAAATGTTTAACTTATTTTTCATCACTTTTTGAGCTTCCACCCATTCTGAAACAATTCTAACCTGCAGAGAATATTCGATAAAAAAGTTCTTGCACTATAAGGCAAGACTTATTATATTATACTTTCCTTTTCATAACACATGGTAATCTCTCAACCTATTAAAGTCCCCTGAAGAAAAACTTCTTTACGAGAGTGAAGATGGCAGTCGAGGCAGAAGACCTGGGGCCGTATTCCTAAAGATTCTGAGAGTCCTCTCAGAGAGCTCTTATCTTAACCTAAAAACTCCTAGCTAGGAGTCTTAGCTTAAAAGTTATTCCAGAACACTCTTAGAGAACTCTGAGCAAGGAATTGACAACAACTTTTATCTTAGTGAGGAGGCGTGGCCGACCCCGTTGCTAGGTATGAGTCATCATTTCAGACGCTGTGATTGGTTGATCCTAAAAGTTAGAACAAACATATTTTTGATGATAATAGGCAAAATAAGGGCCCTAAAATGGACAAACTCAATCATGGAATTTAATCTTAGGAACACTGTGTTATTGTAAATAATAACCAAAAGCTATAAAGTCAGATATATCAATGGTACATAAATACTGTGAATAGTAAAGTTAGACTTATACACCACATCATCAGAGCTTGCTCAGCACCAATTTATCACACATAATACGTATATATCATGAGCACTTATAATTTATATATATATATATATATATATATATATATATATATATATATATATATATATATATATATATATATATATATATATATATATATATACATATAATTTAAATATTACTCTATATATAATATACATGATAAAGAAAATGATTATTATAAATATTATATGGATAAATGATGATAATGATAACGTTAGGATTAGTAAAGGCTGTGATATGTATAGACTTATAAGGAATTAAGGAAACAATATTAATATAAACATATTATACATACACTGTACAAATCAAGTACAAGGGAGCTTAAAAGTCTTATCCTCTCCCACTCCTTTTTGAGCTGGATTGTTGTTAATAAAACAAAACTCTATATTTGTACTTCTATTCTGTTGTTGTTTTGTTTGTTTTGTCCTTTTTTTTCTTGTTTGCCATGGCTCAAAATAAAGTATTCATTCATTCGTACTGAATGTGTGACAATTTAGGACCACTTTTTCCTCTCTTTCAACTTTTACCATTTCTACTTACTTTTGTGTAACAAAGGTAAAATGGATGAGGTGTTATTGCTGACCAGCCAATGAGAAGCTGGTCACATGATTGACTTTTAAATATACCACAAACATGATTCCTGCTTGAATCTGTAGCGTTTCACTGATTCACTGTCATCCAGTGTATAGAATATTTCTCCTGTCTCCACCGTCCACCATTTTGTGCTCTTAGGGAACTTTTAAGTCGCTAAAAGTCCTCCTCTCAACTCTTAAGGGATCTCCCCTTAAGAGCACTCTTAAGAGCTAGGATTTTTTAGGAATAGCTTTTATCTTAACTAGGAGCTACTCCTCACTTTTAGGGGAAATTCTAAGAGTTGGTCAAGATTCTAAGAAAATTCTTAGAATTTGGCCACTAGGAGCAACTTTTAGCAGTAAGAATCTTTAGGAATACGGCCCCTGATGTTTAATGCATGTAACACAAGCACAAAGGTGATGACACTGACGAGTAAACATCAAGAGGGCAACAGCAGGGACAAAACTGGAGCGGACAGAGTGCTGACACCGGAGTGCGGCAATAATCATTTAATGGAATTCACAGGACAAAGAAAGCCGCTGTGGTTTTCCCTCAGAGACACTGGATGCCACGTGAGCAAGTACAAAGGTTCCTCAAATAATCAAAATAGTCCTGAACTGGTCTTGTTAAAGTAAAATGTGAACAAATCAGACTTTATTTTTGTGTTTTATTATATATTTTTTGTAGTATTTTCTGTATTATGTATTTGCTGTATTTTGTTGTATTATTTTTTATTATTATTTATAAATATATTTTGTATCATTTTTGTATTGTACATTGTTTGTATTATTGTGAAAGGTAGTTTTAGAGTATGTGTTGTATTCAGGTGATAGTAAGTCACAATGTAGTCACACAAATCAATAAAAACCTCTGAA